TAAAGGGAGTAAATATATTTGTCCGAGGACTTCATTGATATTTACCCTCTGATAAATATTTATTCCTATTTATATTTACCTCCTGATGATTACTTGTTGTCATACTCATCGAAGTGATTTTATTCCAGACTATTCTTCAGTAAATTAGCTCTTTATTTAGTCTTTTGCGCGGCGCGAAAAAATTCGTTTTTTCATTTATTTTCTTTCCAAGAAAAAAAACAAGAGTAGTACAGTAGATCATCGATTTTCCGTTAACTCGGTTATCTGACGCAGCTTTTTCACCTCTGTAACGTGGCAGTTCCAGACACGACTCGACGGAAACCGATTTTGTGGGCAAAATTTGAAATTATGTGTGGATTTTTGTATAATTGTTCTTTCAATTAAAAGACTATATTTTACAAATACGAAGGAGAATAAACCACGCCTGTACATACTTTTTGGTTACTGCAGAGCCTGAAAAAGAAGTTTTCAGTGCTTTTTGGTGGCTTCGATTGTCGTTATTTGGTAACATTTTCGTTATCCGGGAAGGGCCTCCATTATTTTACATCGGATAATCGATGATCTGAGACCGTATCTCGTATTAGCCCAGTTTCTCTGCAAGGCAATTGAATCTTGTCACTCTAGAAACACTGTTGATTTTTAAAAAAAATTGGACGTGATAGAAGTAAAACCTTATTGATAATAGTTTTTTCCAGTTAAAACATTATTGAAATCAATATTTATTAGACAGGTACCAGTTCCACTGTTTCCCTGATTGCATGATCGCATGAATCGAGTTTTAACTAATGTTTATGTCGCAGGCAATTGATAATATCAGACATTTAGTCAAATTTAAATGTTGGCTATCTGTCTGGTCATTTGATAAAGGCATTTGATCAAGAGCCGAGACATTGTATAAAATGCCGTAGGCCTCCTGGTAAAAGGTGAAATTCGTTAAGGTTCAGACAAATTCAATAGTCAAATTAGGAACGAAAATAACTGTCGGTCAAGTAAAAACAGAAATGTTCTAAAACGTAATAAAACATGAATTAATACGAACAAATCTTGTTTGCACCTTGAGCGATACCACTATTCGACCACGTGGGAGGCAATTTTGCCTACCTCGAAAAGCGAAGGCGAAACGCACTCCAGTAAGCGTTGCGCGTATGCGAAAATGTGTTTAGGTCGCCACAGCTGCACACACATTCAAAGCTTTAATTGTCAGATTCTTTTTGTTTCACCCTTTGTACTATGAAAAAGTTACTGTGACTTTTCTGCAACGCGGCCTTCAGAATCTAAGTTCACAAATCAGTTGATATCAATAGAATTATTGCAGTACGTACGAGTGAGGTAGGTAAATTGGTTGCGAACCACATCCCGCCTTCGATAATTCGACTCACTCTGGTAAATAGAAATACTCCAAAGACGTACCATGGCGCTCAGTAGAACGAGTCTTTGGAAGAAATCAGACATGACATTTTTCACAAAAATTGTAAAATTTTACGTTTATCTCGTCACAATTATAATTTTTAGGAAAGCTTTTGATAGCAGATTATACGAGAAAACCAATGAAACTATATTTAAAACATCAACATTTTATATTAATGAGGATAAACGCTTTTAAAGTTTCTAAATCATGTCCGACCCCTCCCATTGACTCGATCCCTTGCGCGGCGCGGGTAAAATACAGCATACACTTTTGGTCCCGCTTATCCGCGATGAAAATGATTCGCTGATATGAGGAGAAAATCCAACTAGAGCCACGTATGCCAAATTAATTAAGGAGCAGCGATCAAATGAATATTGTGTGAGAGGGGTACAGGAGGGGTGGAAGGGAGCAAGTGTTCTTTTGAGTTTAATTTGATCTGAATGAGGAAATACCTCGACATGCCGTCTCCCTCGTGATGAGAAGGAAGAGGGAGAGGGAGAAAAAGAGAGAGATAAATAGCCGATGCAGACGGAGGCTACAAACACCAACCCCGGCGACGGCAGAATGTAGAAGGAGGGATGAGAGATGGCGAAGAAGAGGGCGTCTGGACTCGAGGCGATTGCGAAGCCGAAGCTCAACCGCCACACAAAGCTCGGCCGAAGGAAAGGTAAAAATTGTGGCTTAAATTATTAAAGAGCTTGAAATTAAATTTAATGATAACATTTACTCAAAGTGAATTAATAATGACGGAAAAATGAAGAAAGATAGACGAGGGCTCTGCACTGCCGGAGAGGTAATGGGAATTGAATTAAAGCATATGCTAACTGCTGCCTCCATGTTGACTCCTTTTTAAGTATTTCATGTTAGTCCTTACCTCCACCGCCCTTTCTCTGCCATCCATGAGCTTTTTCTCTGCCACCCCCCTTCCCTATCCAGTTCCCGCCCACATATACTTTCTCTTTCCTCGGGTTTTCGCACCGTACACCGACCTGAACTCCCATGCAGCGATGCCGCTTTTATCCGACTCTCATCACGAAACAATGCGAAGTGAGGGAGCTTGGTCAGCACAACGGCAGCTGTGGATGTAGGTAGAGTTGTGGAATGAAGCTGTATGTGTTTCCGCATCCCTTGAGAACTGTGTTAAAAAATGCACTCGGGTTAATTCGTTCTCGTCCTGCCCTCGCCGAGTCAACCTGTCATTTGTTCTCTCTTCCTCGCTCTAGTTTCTTTATATTTTCTCGCCGTGGTTCGTAACTAATTTCAACAGGATGCACGCCCTCATGAATTTGTTTCACTAGGAGGTCATCGCTTCAACGACTTTACGTTGCGCAAAAGAAAAGATTGACAAGTTGAGATTTTCTCAATGCCTATGCCTCTAGGCTCGGAAAATTACAGCACCACGGACTAAATGTTACTGGGCGTCAAAAGTAATCTTAAAATATTCTAACCGTCAAGATTAGCAAAAAAATCAGCCTACAGAATTTGTGAAAATGATAATGTTCATCCCGTTGCGTTACCAATTTAAATATCGACGGTGAAACTACCAAACCACGTATCTCGTTTGCGGTGTTTAAAAATCTACGCTCACATTTTATTTTTTTGAAGTAGACCAAATCAATATCATTCCTTGAAATTTTGACGGAATTTTCTCCGCACAAAGAGGAAAAATCACAGAAATTTTCAAGACAGAATGTTAAGTAGTTTTTCATTTAAAAAATAAAGTATGACAGGAAGTCTGCGACGTCGCAAACCGAGATACGTGGTTTGGTAGTTTCACCGTCGATATGTCCTTTATATAGAAAAGTCTACGAGAAAACCAATGGTACCACCTCCAAACGTTTACGTTTCACATTAACGAAAATATATGCTTTTAAAGTTTCCATGGCATGTCCGACATTGAGCAGGAATAGTTGCTTGCTGAAATATAGTTACGTTCAAATTATTCGATTTCTGAATCAATCGCGCATCAATGAAAGAGATTACGACTGTGGCCCAGGCCCACATTCCAAGTAGTTCGCCTTCAAAACTCCAGTATGCAATTTGAGCGGCTTGAGAACTATTTTACTATGCGCCGGTGACTAAGAAGAAAAAACCCGTGGACGTGGACGTGGCCGTAAATTTTGGTAGTACAGGCTACAAAAATTTTGCGTTTGGGAATGTACGTGTAAAAACTTTGATTTTCTCAACGTGGTTTTTATACGATTTTATTGATAGAAAATTTACTCAGTTGGTAGTATCATCTCCTATGTGCAGCAAACCCATTGCGAGTTTCCCAACGAATTGCATGGAAACTAACAAGACTAATCTCGAGGCCTCCTCTTTAATATGGTGGCGATAGATTGCCGAGCGTCTCAAGCTTTCAAATTGAGCCGAGCAATGGGGAGGCGTCAATCATCGACAATCGATATATTCCCATTTAAAACTACGTTAAAGAATCGATTATATAAGGCATACTCTGTTAATCGATACTTATCCATGGGTTTAAATGGCAGAACGATCGATTATCGCAAGGAACGATACGCCACAGTAGCCGAGCACCAAGTTGGTAGCTCCTCGAGTTCGCTTTGATTCTCGCCGGAGCCATTGCAGATTGATTTGCTTTGATGATTCGAATTGAAAACTACAAAGCTGATGGCGACAGTGAAAGAAAACAAGGAGGAGGCAAAAACCGCGCATTATGCGCGTTGCTTTTTCTGGGCATCCCCGATTCCCCGCCCTGGACCGCATCAGGCGGCCGCGCTGTAATAAACTAAATCTGAACGCCGCACGTTCGTTTGAAGCTCCCAGGAGCCGCTCGTATCGTTTTCCCGCCGAACCAAACAAGAGGGCTCTCGAAAAACTTAAGGTTGCTTCAAAAATAGGGCGAATGGAGAATTTGCACTAGCAGATTGTACTGTTTTTCCTTATGAAAACGCTTAGTGAGAGGGGAGTTTTCAGTTTTTTTTTTTTTTTTTTTTTTTTTTTTTTTAAAAAAAATCTGATGTCGGAAATCGGGGGTAACCTGATTTAAGAGTGAGAAAATTTGACAACTTGTGACGTCTCAGGTCAGCATTTTCTATTCAGTAAGAAAAAGTAACCGCAATTTTGTGCGAATATAAAGAGAAGAAGACAAAGTAACCTAGACATGCGGATCATATTTTTTGGTTACTTTTTCTTTAGGTTTCATGAACCAAATCTTTGGGTTGAAAATTTGCCACATCGCCACATTAAAAATCAGGCGCAAGTCGCCAGGATCAAACTTGGATTTTGGGGATCCCAAAAAGTGTTTCCTTTGACCAAGATGTACTTATGGAATCTCAAGTCTCTGACTCAATTTGTTCAAAAGTTATAGTGTTGATGCCTGGTGGTGGTGGAGTGGGAATTTTGGACCACCCTTTAGGTAAATCATCCCTTTCCTGCGTTAATTGTATAAGAACTGAATAAATTGAGTGGTTGTGAGTTGAATTTGGGGATTTTGGGTGTATACACCGTGTTCTAAGTAAAATTTTCATGATGAAATATGTGTTTTTGTGCTTAATTTCTAAATTAGTCTTGTAGTCTGTTTGTAAAAACCTTGATAAGAAGCATACCTAGTAGTAATAAACTGACTTACCTCCCACGCATACTTTGGTTCCAGGGGTCTTTCTCTCAAAATTCCCGGGTACGGTCCGTAGCGGATGCCTCTGTGGAGCCTCTCTTTGGTCCAAATGCCGCCCGCGCCGCCGTTCCTCAGTTCTAGCTCCGCGGGAATTTGCGAGTCGAAATAGTTGAACTTATCTTTGAATGAGGTTTCACTGGACACCTCTGCTTCTTCCTCCATCGAGTCATCTTCTTCACCACCACTTTTGTCTACGCCATTCTCGTCAATGCTACCTGAAACACATACCACTTTCGTCTTTTAATAAATCTCACAGAGAGTAAATCTAAGAAATAAGGACCGCTATTACCTCATCGCATCATGAAAAGATGATAGTGCACAGTGTGCATCATTTATTTTTGGTGTGGGTTATGGGCCACAAATTAATCATGGCATGCGGCACTGAACGGGATGGAAGCTATAGGCGATATGAAATTGTTCCCTTGTCAAAAATTTTATGCAGAATAGGTACGCCATGCTTATGTGTATAACGTTTCGAAAAACAGCGTATGGAAGAAAATTAGTGCGATTCACAAAAAATCAGACACTTAAAACCATCCCATCGCAAAAAAAGGAGAGAGAGAAAAAGAAGATTTTACTGCATTCGTCGTTTACAGAACAAAGAGAGTAGGGGCCGCGGCCCTCATTTTAGGACGGCGACGTTGTTACATATTTAATCACTCAAATCATTATTCGGAAAAATGACAGAAGAATGACTGAAGATATCAGTAGTTTAATTCATTGGCATAATAAGAAGCAATGGAATGGAGCAAGGCGCCCTTCGTTAGTGTCAAATGCAACGAACACTATGCAATTCTCATTTTAACTCCTGGATGCAACTATTCGAGCTCCATGGATGTCCGTGTTGCATACGCACGCAAGTGAAGGCGTTTTGACTGTCCAGGTACTCACTATTTTACCCGCGGCGCGGCGCCAACGGCGGGCTTTACTGCGGGGATCCAAAATGTCAGAACGCCTCTTATTCTTCGTTTATACTACAGAGGAAAGCACGAATAGTTCCATGCGTTAAGGAAAACTAATTTTAACGTTAGGTGCATAATTTTCAAAGAACATTCCTGATAAATCGCACGGAAATGGGAACAAAAAAGATGACCATTCGTCTTCCGATTAAATGAAATGCGACAGAAAATCTGTAACATTACAAGCCTAAATACACGTTTGTGACTTCCTACGTGCAAAACTTTAGCACAACGAAGTCTGATAAATATATTATTGAAAATGAAAATTTCTGATCTTTCCCGCCCGAAATATGGTCTGCGTCTCGTATATTTCGCAACACTCTGTTCGTGTCGCTGGGTGCGGAGACTGCATGCTATGCACTTTCTCAGTGACATTGACAATTGGGTGCGCAGATCTGTAGACAGAGATCGAAGGAGAATTCGCAAATCTAGTGTCTGTGGTCAGGAATCTTTTGAATCTGAATCCGTTATCAACATGAAATGAATATCCGCGTGACTCCTTCGCGCAACGACTCATTTCGTGAGACAGGAGAGTGTCTTGCGAGGCTCACAGCTGACTCATCGTTGCCACGTAGCTCAGTTTCACTGATTTCGATATTGATATTCAAGCAAAATTGGTAGGTAACGATGCTCGTTCAGCCAACCAGGGCTGACCTTCATGAAAAAAGTGCTGATCAGCCATTCCATGAATTAAGACGGCTAGTCTGTATTTACAGCCCGAAGAGCATTGATCTGACCCTTGGCGACTGCAGTGGGCTAAAATGTTGAGTGCCATGATTCTTGAGACGTAAATGATACGCCTGTGACAGTGTGACACCAAAGACAAATCAGTAGGTTAGTATATTCGAGTTCGATTGGGCGGCATCCCTTAAAATTGTATCTTGAAAGTATATAACGTTGCTGTAGGTTGATTCGAATTCATAATTGCACCACGTAGACGGTGTATTTTGACTGATGAAATTCTGAGGGGAGGGGGCGGAAAAAAGTTAAGGACAATATCAACCAAAAAGAACTGGAAAAACTATGAGCCTGTGAGATGAGTTTCAAAGATGTTTGAAAGAGACTTACAAATAAATTGGTAAAATCACTGATATCATTGTGAGATAATGAGAACCAAAAGGGTTGCAACTACAAAGCGGTGAAAACTGTGGGAAAAATGGATTGGATATGCCGCCAAGATTTCCTCATGGAGAATAAAATGTCTTAAGTAATGCAAGTTTCTGCTTGCTGTAAGGGACTTAATTGTTAATATGCATTTCATCAGCTCGATGCATGGAAAAATTTCTTCATGGTGGCAAATTCAAGAATATTTATATTTACATTACGAGTCAATTTCTTCCACCGACGCACAATTTACAGACTTTACGGACTTTAATCGGATTATTATGTAACAGGTTTTAAGAATGAATAAAGATCAATGAATTCAAATTTCCCTCTTCAGGAAAAACCAAAATCAGCATTATGGTTAAATTCTCAAATATACAGTTAAATGGTAGGTCAAAGTGGGTGTTGAAACCAATGCACTCGGCAGACCAGAAAAAAACGAAAGACAAAAGGAAACCACTAACACAATGACGAAAAACCCCACGCGTCTAATAAATCCGTAACTATTGTTTCAATCAACAAATTATGAGGAGGGTAGCATGCTGCTGTCATTGCATACACATTAGCAGCTCTGAATAGTAAGCAATTCTCTAACAAACTAAAGCTCCTTCATGTCTTTCCCCCTTTCTTCGCTCAGGGTAGTAACTCCATTCCCCTAACAATGTTGACGTGAATCGCATGCTCCACTCTGCCGTGCTAGGGAAAAACGACGTATGAGCCTACAGCTGTTGCCTAATTTCCTTGAATAAAAACACTAATTTTATTGGAAACTTGAGAATATTTTTCTCATAATGTCTTAGGGAATTTTTTTTCATAGTTTCAGCTAAAGTAAGTATCTGAAAATTTCGAGGATAAATGTTGATAACTTTTCTCAAAATAAATAATTTACCTGGGAAAATTTGGCAACTTTTGAATGATCATACGACAATTTCACTTGGCACAGCAGTACTCCGTAATACCTCTTCATAGTCATCCCGATCGCCAAATTCATCAGCTTTGAAGTTTTGTCAACGCGCATGCCAATTCTTTCAGGCTCTCTCAAGAGGAGGACGAGGACTGGCTCATTTCAATTAAAAACTGTCAAAGCGGGTCAGTTAATTGTGTCGTCACCCCGTCCGACATATTTGAGTAAAATTTCTCATGATGCAAAAAAATTTGATGACAAAAATTGTTGCATTGTCCGTAAGTTTTGGTACCAATGTTGATAAAAATGTATATTTTTAATGTAGAACGAGGAGTCTAGCAGTGCGTGCTGTAATTTTTCGGGAGAGAAGTGTAGCCTTGCGTGACAAAAGATGAGACAGGTCTAAAATTCTGAATTTCAGCCCGACGTAAACCATGGACATATGTTTAATTGAACATAGGATTAGAAGTTGATACGTCAAAAATATAGGTATAAAATTTCTTTGCGCAACGGAATTATTATATTTCCTCGCCCCAAAAGCCAAGAAAGACTTTTTAACCTTTAGTCATAAGCTTCCAACTAAATATTTTGCCACCTTCCGGCCAAAGTATCACAAGCGCCATGCTACGTTTAAAAATTTCCGCCGCCATTTTATTTTTAACAGAGAAATTGTTGGTTGAATCTGTTTGAAAATTCCACTACATTTTATCGGCAGCATAAAGAAAATTTCAGTGAAATTTTCGAACAGCTTCGTTGAACAATTTCTCAATAAAAAAAATGAAATGTCGTCGGAAATTTTGAAGCGTCGCATGGCGCTTGTGCTCCTTCGGCCGAAAGGTAACGATTTGAGAGGGAGTCGACTTTTGGCTTGTTCTGTTTTCGCCCCTTTGATTTACAGTGACTTAACTCACAAGAGCTCATTCGCGAAGGGGATTAGAGACATATTTGGAAATAAAGAAAAAATAAGATAATTGTAGTAATTCTGAAAAGCTAAAGCCGAAACGAAGGAAATATCATTTCCGAAGGAGAACCATGTCGATCGTTTCCTCTTTGAGCTCCAGATGAGTATAAAAACGAAGAGCAGTAGGAAGGAATCGATAGAGTTATCCACCTTTGGCTTATCTCAATAGTAACATCCCCCGCGATCGTGGAAGGGTAAATAAAACGCGAGAGAATCCCGAGAAACTGGAGGATGATAACGGCACCACCCTCGCCTCCTCGCCCTGTTTCGAGGGTGTCGACATGTGTTCGACACCGTAATTTCTTCTTAACATCTTGATCTCTCAACAATGTAGTGAGATCGAGTAAAGTTGTCAAAATAAGATTAGGTACTTACTCCGTGTCTGGGTGTTAGCATCGACTTTTTACCCTCTGATATGAACATGTCGTTTCAGACTGACAGAATTCAAGCATGACTCTGAAAGTGCTTCTGAATTTCGGAAACCGTAAAACACGCATCCATCGTTTATACGCGGGAAACTGATTGTTCTTAAACTCATATAGACAAGCAGGCGTTTCTTTCACGATAATAATTACGCATTTTTTTGTTGAGATTTTTTATTTATATACTGTTTTAATAATTTATTTATTTTATAAAGTTTTGACTTATACACGATCTATTTTTATCGAATTTCCCTGATTTATGCAAGTTGCAAGTGCTGATAACGGGAAAGAGGAACTCAGCTTACCATGTAGTTTCAGAACGTTGCTCATTCCTGCTGAAACACATATCGGTGAAAAAAGTCGCAAAACACGGACCTTGATTTTCGACAAATTGCAGATTTCTTACCACAGTTTAGTTTTGCGAAGGGACTCTACGAACGTTATTTCTTGGAATTTTGCCCTCTTTCTACTCATCCTGCGCAGAGTATTCTATGATAATTTAGTCTTGGGGGGAAAAAGAATAATACCAAAGCAGATATTTCAAAAGGTTGGAATCAAGAAAAGTACTATGTGATTTTCGCCATCGATCTGGTGCATCATCCCCTCATCATTCAGTTATCATCATTATATCAGTGCCAATTTTATCTGGAATTGCAGTCCTAACATATTCCTTAGTTTTTCTTCTATCCTCTTTTATTTTTCCCTCCCCTAGGAATACATTATCACGTATCGTTATTTTATGAAACATTCACGCCTCACTACTGGTGCTTTCAAAAAGTTTTATGGGTGAGAAAGGTGTCCGATCTCTGGACTTCCATTCAAAATGACGCAAATGGAGGAATCTTCAAGGATGAAGGATGCGACTATTTTAACGCGTAGGAATGTTTGTTGCCTAGTCACCGAATTGAAGGAAAATTAGGCTCCGCGCGACAGAATGCTATGAGCGTATCGGCCCTCATTTGAATACAACGAAAACATGCGTGCCGAAATAGCAGCATCTGACTCAAAAATACCTGACAGAATTTTGACTCTGGCTTTAACAATGTGCACTTCTACAAGGCTAGATGTTTGCGAGACAGTAGGAGGTACTAAGTCAACCTCTCCTTCTCCATCATGAATGAGCGGTGAAGTATTTTTTTTAAAAAAAAGCTAAAATGTGGTCAAAGCAGTAAAGGAATTGGAATTAATAGTAATTTCCATCGTCATTATTGCTTGTTCTTAACATTACTTGTTATTTTTTGATGAATGAACCTCTCTAACACAGACGGACCTCACCACTTGTACAAATATCATAATTTTTCATGAAAAAATTAATTCAATAGCCGAACATTAAGTGCAAACTCTCTAAATTGATTTTTTTTAAATTTTTCCACATTTTAGCTAAAATTTACCAGATTACATGCACTAGAAATAATGCCGTAGTTTTTAAATTCCAATTTCATTCCATTAAATAAGGATGAAAAAATGTTAAATGATATGCAAGGCACAGAAACAGTTGCGATGGCGTTAAAGGTACCTTGTATCTATCTGATGGTTCCTCGTGACTTTTTGTGGGGAGTAATTTTATCTCAAATTGAGTTTGCATACGTGTGAAAAATTGACGCAATAGATGAGAACTGACGCTTGGAAAGGAGTCGATAGATAAGGATGAATTCAAGTCTAAGATTACCGAGGACGTGAACTCGCGTCTAGAAAAAATCATGATCTACCCGCCATTTCAGTGTTGCACTTACAAGATACGCAAAATCCAAAAGATGCCTCACCTGTGGAGACTTTCTATTCAGTTTATGGAAAGATAGGAATAACAGAGCAGCTGGAAAACATCCGTAATTTTCACATTTTCGGATTTTACACTAAGGCCTGAATTTTATATTGAAAGTGTAACCAATTATGGATCACGGTCCAAACACATCTTTAATGTTGAACAAAAATTCCAGCAAGGCTTATAAGAAATATATTGTCAGATAAATAAATCGGTGGTAGATACATGTTTTGTCAAAGGGTTAGTTTTTTTGTTTTTTAAAAAAAATTATTTCGCCGATAAAATCATTCAAAATGTTTCGAAAAACAAAAAAGCGCGCAGCCACGAGACATTTTCCCTTTATCCAAAGTATTTCATACTTTTAAGCTACTATCATAGATTTATTTCTTTTTCACGAGCTCAAGAAAAGAGATTATTTACATTTGACTTCGTTCCAGTGAGTTTGAATGAATGTAATGATACAGCTCCTTTTTTTAAGGAAGGAATTCTATTTACAAATTTGAGTAGTCGACTAGGTGACTAGTAGTTCACCGCATGACGAAATTTGTTAAATAGAAATCGATCGACCGTCAACCATCCAGTAACGAGGCGTGCTTTGCAATGTATCGATTGGTCTGCCGTTTAAACCTATAGAAAGGATCGATACATTGGGTGTTCGCAACGAGCACTTTAATAATCGATTCTTTAACACAGCTTCAAAAGGGGAAATATCGACGATCGATCGATCATTCACGCCTTTCCACTGTAACCATCTTCAACGTCAACGATCTACTTGTAAGACACGATTTTGGATGCAAAATAAACTAAAAACGATCAGTGCGAGCATCCCTATACTATTCGACCCCCAGGAACTCGAAATGAATTAATTAGAAATCGATGATGAGGCACAATTGTACAATATGAAAGTGAGATGTCAATGGTTGTATATAAAGCAGCTCATTACGGTTACCCAAACATGAGTTATACCCACATCGCTCTGTTAGGAGTCTGCATATGCATGATAACCCTCCATGGGCCTCGTCTCCCCTTTAAGAAAGAAACATTTTTCGATAATCTTTTTGCATATTTTTAATATGATAATCATACAAATGCGCCTTCTCATCCCATCGTCTGTGCTACGCTTTACATTTTCGACCTGGTTGCAATTGAAAAAATTTCTTAAAGATGATGCAAAACAAGAATAATTTTCGACGGATCATCTCCCTATGCAGAGGATGAGGCAAAGGTGGACTCTTACTTTAATTTACCACCAAGAGGTTCAACTTCTGATATTTTTCAAATATGATCAAAACTTCAATTAATTCTAATATTGCAAGACATAATTGACAGAAATATACGTACAGGGCGGTTTCTTTACCATGGGGACGGAGAAATAATTATTTTCCTCGTTTACTTTTTTAAAATTTGCAAAATAAAATAGAAACTTCATACTTTCAACGCAAAGTGATGGAGCCTTTTAACTACCTATTGATCACGATAGTGGGAGAGCAGCACAATTAATTTTCAAAACCGTTCACGCGGTCTAAACAATGTTTGACTTTAGGAGACCACGGACTACCATGCATGAATCTACCTAGAATATTCTTCTTTGGCTCATTCATTCCTCAGATTTTTCCAGTGGAATTTCAAGATTTTATGCATAGTTGCCGTATAAAATTGAACATCTTAGAGGGTTTTTCTGGAGGGGGGAAGGAGAGGTCGCTCACCGCCATATGAGCCCATACTTTTAAGCATCCTTGAAATTTTGCGTTAGATATCACGTGCGACAATGAAATTCCAAAAGGTTTCAAAAATTTTGTGAGAAATAGCCTTGAAAATACCAATTTTTCAACATTTTATTGAAGTTTCACGGGAAAATTTGATGGAAATTTATCGTAAGGTTTTAGATGTTGAATTTTATCAATTTTTCCGTACCATGGCCATTCCTATGATACCGTTACTTAGGCCCGAGATCAGATGTTATTGACCTCCGAATGGGACACCGAATCTTATCAACATGTATTTTTATCGAATGTGGACATATAATATCTTCGTCCGACTTATTCAACGGCAAGTTACACTAAATATCACCTCTTTTAAATTTACTTCAAACATAGGCGGATCTAAAGGAGGGGAGGGGCGGAAGGGGCATACGTTTCCCCCGTTCGCCAGAAAAAAAGGAGAAAAAAGAAAGAAGGAAGGATGCTTATACTGAGGAATTGCTCCTGATAAAATTGACTTAAACTTCATTTAAGAAGCTTTAAAATTGTGGAAATTTTCCGGGGCAAGCACCCCCTCCCGTCTTTTCCCCCCTCCTTTGAAGCGTACGGATCCGCCTTTAGCTTCAAATTACTCACACCAATGACTCATGTCGTGACTGATTGGCGCCGTATCATTCCGAAGAGCTTTAATGGGAGACCGGGATAGCGTCAAACGATAAGCATTGATGTGGTTGGTCCGGATGACCATAGGATAGAATACCATAGAGGACCATAGTAATTGAAGAATTCATTCGGAAGAGCATCTTTATGGTGAGACTCTGGACGCTGCCAAAATCTTCCGATTTCGATCAGTATCCAATTAACCGATTGAAATCGTTCATGGGAAAAAGGGCGTAAGCTCACAAAAATCAGTTTGGATATAAAGCGGATCAATCCAAGTTAAGATTAAGCGCGACTCCGATTTCAGAGGCTGGGGAAAAAATTTAAAATTTGTTTCCGTTGTGAAAGAAAAGAAAAGAAAGAATGGAAGAGAAAATAAAATGAAAAATTCGCATGAGACTCCGTGTAGCGCCGATATTTTAGGACACCTCAAATTCAAAATCACATGAGATTGAAGATGATTCTTCAGAATATTAATTGTCAGACTTAATTCATTAAGTCAGCAAAGGATCACTGGAACAATTCCCCGCCCAATTTGAGACTTCCGCAAACAATCGCCTGAGAATTGTTTCATAGATTGGAATACATTTCGGCAAATCTATCTGTGACGGTCTCGAAGAAAAAGTACCTCCCTGAATTACAAAAGAGCCGAAACATAAATGTCGGCACTACTCTTAGAGGAATGTTTGTACAATTTAAAGCACAAAAGTCGCCAAAAAATATAAAAGTTTGGATGGTTTTGGAGGTTAAACGATTTTGAGGTAAATCTTGTTAAAGGTACAACCACCCCCATGTTCGAGACTCATAATTATCGGACAACATTTGGGTACCAAAAAATGACACAATCTTAACCTAAATTGAAACCGAACCACTACTAGTCATCATGGCACAGAGTCGAGTGATTTTTGCTGGGAACTAGAATTCCGTTTTTGCAAAAAATCTGAGCAAAAAATCTATCTCGGTGCAGTTCAAGGTACCTTTTACGTTATGAAAATCCGATGAAGTTACCTTCCTGAATACTAACCTCTTGTGTTTCTCAAAGTGATCTTTCTGCAATCGTCCAAAAAATAACAACAAAAACTAATACTCACCGGTCATTTTTCTTAAATCCTCCTAGGTGGCTATCTGAGCAGCATTTCTTCTTATTCTAGTCACGAGTGAGTCATGGAGAGACGGTTTTTGGCGTACCTTGCACTGCACTTAAGTTCCCTAAGTAGTATGCAAGAAAGTTGTGTTTGACACACTTGCCGCTTCGAACGAGCCGGTATTCGCGGTTATGTATTGTTGAGAAACACAATTGTCAAAATCCTCATGCTGATTGAATCAAAATAAAAGACATTCACGAAACCGACCGAAGTTCCTCGTAAGCAACCACAAAAAGAGCAGAACGAGTCACAATCACGAAAACCGAAAGTTCTATGAAGAGATTCTAATAACTGAGCACAGAACTGTCCACAGGGAATCAATTTGAAATAAGGTTATGGCTATCGTGAAGTACCATAAGTTAAAAACATAATAGAGCTGTTATCAGGTTTGGTTATCAATTAGGATCGAGTTATTATCAAGTATGATTTAGATGGGCACGGATGCACTGGTGGATCAGAATCCGAGATTTTGAAACGTCTGGCGAAAAGCGAGTGGGAATATTTTGAGGTTGCGGGGGCCGATGGGAAACAGGTGATAAAGTCGGGCGGAACGATGAGGATCGGAAGACGGTTCCGAGGATGCACGCACAAGGCCTGGCAGGAGCTGGCTTGGAACTGGCCGCCCCGCGGTCTTGGTCCAAATCCCGGCACCAAGGCGGGGCATCTGCCGGGAGGAGGAGCTTGCCGGGTTCATCTTGGCAGAGGACCCGATTCGAATCCTGTACTCTCCGCTCTTTCGGTGTCTCCATCCCCGAACCCCAGTCCCGTGCCCCCTGCAGCCCCCGTCCCCCGCCGTCGAGCTTTTTCGCATCGTCTCGCCTCGCGCCCCCTCATCCCTGCAGTGAGCCGTCTCCCACCCCCCGCCTCGCAAGACTCGTTTATCCGATCCCTGCACTGATTTTAAAGTTTATTCCGTCCATGGTTTCAGACTTTCCTTGTGTCACAAACCGTCGGGAAAACTGCACACTTAGCAGTTGCGGAGATTGGACGGAGAGAATGCGGCCATGACAATGGAGCGAGAATGGGAATGGGAGGAAGAATGCAAAGGTTATCGCAAAACACGTAGCGATGGCTATAGTCTGAAAACGCGTAACTTGATTACGGTCGAGCAAAATCTTTTTATATTTTTAAAGAAAACTGAGGAACATCGTGGCTTTGAGATTTTTACGGAATAATAATGACAATAATGTAAAAACAAATCAAATCCAATTTTAACGGAATGAATACGTGATTTTTGTCTTTCAGAAACAATACTAGCGAGTTTTGCAACGCTGAATTTGAGAATGTGTTAACTGAGTGAAACATAGGTTTCTTAATCATGATGATATTCCTTTTTGTTTTTTATTGAAAAACCGATGGGTGTCAGTGTTCAAAATCCTCACGGAATATTCTATACGCGATGAAGAAAAATACATAAAATTTCGAACAATACAGCTCCTCGGTCAGCCCTTGAAGAAATAAAATCAGAATTGAAATCTGCAATATCGCAACTCACAAATTGCGAGTTACACGTTTCGCGAAACGCTAACTATAATGGAACTTAAATGGACTATAATGGAACTTAAAGTGGGAATTTGAAGATTTTCAAGAAAATTATTAAGCGAGGACAACAAACCACTATTATTATTTCGCGCATACGATTTCAATAGTTTTAGAGCATTGTTGATTTGCCTCGTATTTACTTTTTTTTATGTACAAAAAGAGAATATATACTTTAAAATGACTAATATCACACGAGAGAAAGATTGATCGAAGATTTTGAAATCGGTTGCGAGTATTTACAGTCCAACGAAAAGACCGTGATTAAAGTCACGGGTCTATGTGCTTCGTAATGTATTACAATTTGAATACAAACTTGCTCACTTCATTAGTTGAGTAATTATCTGGAACCTACCGGGCCCAGAATTATTCCAATCGACATAATTCGATCGGAAAATAAAAAAGAATCTGTTTTTCTACTCTCTCTCAATTGGTTCAAGTTTATCTGTTTTCACCTTCACCGATTCATGTCGATCTGGTACTACATCGATCCACCCGTTTGGTTAAAAGCTCATATGTGTGTGCGTCCGAGTGAATATATGCCATTCCACGACGGTAACACAATTCGACCACGTGGGAGCTGGCGTCGCCTACACTGAAAATTGAAGGCAGAGTAGCATGATGTAAAAGAAACCTCTTCCCGCTTGTTAAAAAGCTCTAACTGTGTGGGTCCCGAGTGAACGTGCCTATTCATGATAATACCACTATATGACCACGCGGGAACTCGTGTTGCCTACAGTATAAATTGAAGGCGAACTTGCGCGGCGTGAAAATAACCTCCTTTAATACAGTGAAGTATTTACGTTCCGAGTGAGCGTGAGAATTTTACAACGATACCACTATTCCACTTCTTTCTCATTTCGTCTTTTGTGGTAAAACTTCGTTCCCGACGATGAAAAAAAGAAAACTCGCGAATTTGGAAAATTTGATATTACTTTATACGGACCGCACACAATCTGTATTAAGGAGTGATTTCACACTTTTGAAGGTATCCTCGTGATTTTTGTGCGACTTTGTCATTAGCTAAGAGGTATTTTTGCCAATGTGTATATTTCGTGTGTAACAAACCCATCAGATTTAATTATCATTATTTTGTGAGGTAAGGAGAAATTTTATTCTGGTAGGAGCTATTTGTATTTCTAGTATTACGGAATTCAAAAGGGGAAGTGAGATGTTGTCAAACGGGAGTAAGGGGTAAAAAAATTGGCAAAAATTCATTTTACGTGTTACCTAGATGACCCCTAAGCATCATCGCTATCGGTGCTCATATACTGGAGCTGAACTCACTAGCTGGGCGAAATAAGAGCGGCACACGATTGGTTCTCGACAGTGATGGCTTTGAATTTAAAGATAAACATGAGACAAGGTCGATCTAAAGAAAGTGCGTTGATAACAATAGCCGGATAGTGGAAACGCGGGCCGTGTAATAAAACGACCATTTTTGAATCGGGCATCATTTACGCCCTGCATTCAAACGACTTGAATTGTGGATCTGATAATTCCGGTCAGAGACAGACCTCGGACGAGATGTGAGGGAAAACGAAGTGGTGGAATTGTAAAGCACGAAAGCTTAAAAAACGAGGGTTGGAGGCAGGAGATTTTTTACAGCGGGGAGGGGGTCGAGGGCGATTGATAAAGTTACAGTTGTAAGTGAGGTGGAGGAGGTTGATGCCGAGGAGAAACGGGAAAGTTTGCGAATGGAGGGCGGTCGAATTCCGCCACGAAAAACGGACGCAGGGGAGAGCCGCGAGACTTCTCAAATCTAAAAGTTGAATGGACGCTTGAACTTTCGAGCGTGTCTCACAAACACAATCGAGAATCCAAACCACATGGGAGCCACTACTCTTCCTTCAAAGACCGCTCCAGCGTTTTCGAGACTCCGGCCCCACCCCTCACGCCAGCTCCGAGCTTCGTGCGGAGCATTCGAGCTTTCAGCGGCGGTCGAAAATGAGGTTTCTCTCTTTCGTCCTTTCTATTGTGCGTTTTCAATTTGGTCAGCGACGGCGCCGTGATGGAAACGGCGTTATCCTTTGTTAACACGCCTTCCTGATAGTGATAGCTTTATCTAACGTGTCGAGTTTAAAAATCTCTTTCCATCCCTGCCACCCCTGAGGCTCTAATAGTCGTTTGAACTTTGCTTCGTAAAAAAAGAACCGACTTTTCTGAGACAGGTGAAGTCTCCTCGTCCAAAGCTCCCGATAGAATCTCACAGTTGTTTAAAACCAAACTAAGATTCATGGAGGATAACATGGTCACAAGGAAGAAAGTTCACAAAAATCGTTCTGAAATAAACCTAAAATGGTAGGGTCCTATAACAAAATTTAGTCTAAATCGTTTCTGGGTAAGGTCCGCCATACTGTTTCAATTTTTGCCTGAATTACATTTTGCAATAAGAAACTAACATTTCAAACTCATTAACGCACATTGAAAAAAAGTTTCGGGCTATGTAGACATACCGTCCGTTCCGAGCCCAAAGGCCGAAAGTTCTGGGTTCTGGAGCTGTAGCTTCGACTGCTCCGGTCACTACGCCCGGAACGCAGACGGTATGTCTACATAATCCGCAAGTACAGCTTCTACGGCGAGAAATTATTTTTTTAGTAAGTATCATTCATGCTCACATGCAGATAGATGATTTTGCATGTGAGTCAGATGTAGTAGTTCTCATTTACAATATAATAGTCCGTTTGAATAGAAGAATCCCCATGTTTCCAACTTCCTAGATACACCAACCGCAATTTTACGAGGAACAAAGCTGCAAGACGTACCCTTCAATAGACACGAGTCGATCGATTATATCATAAACCACGGCATAGTCATTTTATTCTCCCGCTTATTTCACTGGTGTAGCGGTATATTGATAAAAAGGATCCAAGCTGAAAGTGATCTTAATTGCTGGTGAAACTTATGATAACAAATCCAGGAGCAGGAGACTTTATTGCCGACACCGAAAATGCAGTTCGTTTTAAAGTTGTCAAGCATAAAAGAGTGACGGAGGCCGACTAAGCGAATAGTTGGTCGATCGGAGATACAATGAATGATTGTCATGCCTTCTGCGATTGTGCAGGACGGAACAGACTGGGCCGCGGGCATTCTTGTTGCAGAACGTAAGGCGATAATTTGAAAGTTACGCTCGTGGACACTGATTAGATAAGCGGAAGAAATACCCGAAGATAATCTTCCATTCGATCTGAAAGCGCCTGCGCTATCAAAATGAGAAGCTGTGCCGTGAAGCTTGCCGCCGCTCACCTGATTGGTGACTAATTGTAAGACTTGTCTCGCAAAATTTTCATGTCTATGTCTCTTGCGTCCATCGTGGGCTTCCTTTAAAATGGAATTACAACTGCAATTGCAGTTGCATTTGCAACTGCATACATGCGAGGGAGGCCAATGTATAACGAAAAATTTAAGAGAGAAAGGACATATGTGTTTAAGGGGTAACTTGATTTTAGAATTTAAGTCTGAAACCCGGTTTTGGCGCCGAATTTTGACAGAACCGGACGAACGGGCGAGCCTTAATGGACTAAATTTTTCAATATGGAACTACTATCTCGACTCATCAGTAAAAGCATGTACTTTCGAAAGGAAACCTAATAGCAAAAGTGTATCTAATATTCTATCGAGTTCGCCTTGAATAACCAATAACCGTGATGGCTGAGTGAGAGGCTCAGGGGCACAAATAAAGCAGAAAGCTTTGCGCGCAGCAGTTTTGTCACTTTTCTTTTGTCCCGGCAAGGAGCAACGTTAGTTACTCTCCTGTGAGTCTGTCTCTGATTCTGTCAAGTTCGCCTTCAATAACCGCGGCGGCAATATGAGTGGCTTAGGAGCACGAATAGTTGCGCACAGTAGTTTCGTAAGTTTTGCTCTGTCTCACGTTGATTAATCTTCTCACTGCATGTATCTCATTCTATCAAGTCCGCCTTCAATAATTATGACGCAATTTGAGCGGCGTCTCGTGGTAAACTATACATTATTTTTTGTGGAGGAGTAATCAAAATTAGAAACGTCTCCACACTAATTGAAACTAACGTAGAGCTGCTCAAAAACATCTCTCCTGAAAATAGCATGATTTCACTAAGGTTTCTTAAAATGAGTACCTGAATTTCATTTAAGGTGAAGATAATTTAATGCTGAAATTACTTGCATTACTCGAGAATTTTTAATTT